ATGTAAATATCATTTAGGTACCTATATATTATTGTGAGTATTATTTTTCACAGTATAGGATGTAACATACTATTTTCACACAACAGACATTGTAATGCGATATTTTTTACAAAGTAATTATTCAGTGTTAATTATTTTAGCACGATGTAAATTGTAATTTTACATAAAATGTAAATTTCAACTCATATAATGTGAAAGTTACAAAATGATTTATAGGGAAAATGGCATGAATTTTTTCCCGTGGTGAGTAAATATCCCTGATTCCGGAAATTATTCAAATAAATTATTTTATTGTTAAGTTATGAGATTAATTTTGCAGACTCTTAAGTTGGTAAAAATGAAGGGAACAAACTAAAGAAACATTTACCTATAATAACTACAATTTGTTTTATAATGTAGATTTCTATGATCAAAAATATATTAATAAACCACCTAAATTTAAGCTCTAAAAGAAACCTTTATTCGGCAATTAGTGATCGATAAATTTTTAATAACCTTCGTAGGTGTGCATTTCATTATTTCTCTCTTTATAATTTGAAAAATTTGAAACTAATATATGCTAATATTTTTCCGAACAACTATACTTTACACTTATATTTATTCAAATCTTTGTTATCTAAGTAGTATTTTATTCCTTATCATATTTCTAATTAATAAGAGTACCTACAAACTATGTCTTTAATTAGCTAAAAGCACTTTCAGAATTTATAGCAGGTAAAGGGTCAAAATCGTCGAAACACACAAGATTCGTATTTGTACGTTAGCAAACAAGTCAGTATATAATACTGTCGATTGGTCGATATCCACCCCAAGTTAATTGTGAGGGGGAACACTGTGAGTATGCGATTAGGCGAAGGGCTTTAGGGCCCCTCCCACCTCTACCATCTTCCTACTACCCTGATACAGAGCCCTTCCGAACCACGTGGAAGCGACAAAAACAAGGTCATGGAAAGGACGAGTCGTAGGCCGGAGGGCGGAGAGTGGGGCGATTTCCACTCGGGTGAATGTAGAGGGTCGCTGTATAGATATGCCAGCAGCCGGCTTTTAAACTAAAGGGATCGATTCTGTTAGGTTTTTTTATGAGTTTAATCATTGGAGAACTGTATAACTTTTGGTTAATTTTTAGTATATAGTACATTGTAGGTATAAAATAATATTAGATATGCAAATACCTGCACAAAAAAACAAATAGGTATAATATTTATGTTGTATATTATCTACTAAAGTTATTCAAATACAAATTGAAAATTCGGCTTCATTAGGTCGATTAAAATAATACCATTAATACAGTTCCATGAATTGAACAAAGGAAGATTATTAAAATAAAGTGGTTACATTGAGAATGTTGCATTCCCACAATATTGCACTATTTTATATTTCTATGAAATTAATGGACATATGAAACAAAGAGACTAATGGAAGTTATCTTTGTTGCACCCATAGACCCATCAAATTTGCACTTGAGTTTATATTGTAAGAAAAAGATTAACAAAATGAAGCCGGTAGGTAAAATTTGCGCGAAAGGCCTTTGCGGTCGGTCCGCCCCTGCGCGTTCGCAAGGGCGGAGTAGTCGAGCAAACGCCGGCCGGGTAGAGGGAGAGAAAGGGAATATACGCCCTAATGGCGAACGCTTAGGGATGACTTTTCTGTACTAAAATTGTGTGGTTCGGTGATGTACCGAGGGTCGGAGCGGCGCCCGAGAGGAAATGAGCGAAACGCTGATGCGAAGGGCTAATTTTAGAGAGGCCTTAGGGGTCGGAAATGAAGGGCTTTGGTTTCGGAGGCGTTTGTATTCAAGGTGCGGTGTGATATTTCAATCTGTTTACTCGGTTTTCTCGTGAGTGCTTTTAAGTCGGTTGAATATACGACTTGAAAAATAAATATAAACTTAATTGTAAATTTGATTGATTTTAGGTGCATATTTTGTGAGTATACACTCAAAAGTGCATAGTAAAATCGATAAATAAATAATAGGACAATTATACGGAACTATAAAAAATGGTGCATATAAAAATCTATACAAGTAGAAACTCTATACAAGCTTCTAATCATGATTTCAACATGAAACATATTTCTGCATGATATCCAAAAGGGTACCGCTTCATTACCTCATCCTTAAAATCTTTTAATGAGTGTATAGTTCTGCCGACCATTGCATCTTACCTACACTACGTAAAGAGACTTGGAAAATGTTCTATCGAAAATTATCAAAAAAAAAACGTTCGGAATAATCCGAATTCCTCCTTTATCAACCTCGCTTTTCGATTGACCTCGAACGATCAATCACGACGAGCCTTTTATCACTTAAACGGAACGCCAAAAACCGATAGATTCGATTTTAAAATATACGCTTATGGTACGTAATTGGTCTGATATATGCGGTTTACATACCTGTCGGCATCACAAGAGCATTGAATTTCCAGTAATCTGCCAGATATTTAAAAAAATTTATTCCTCAAATAAATTTTACACCAAACTGAAAGGAATTAAAGTGTGTGGGTATTAAATTTGGGCGTAAAAGAACTGTAGGTTTCAATCCTATAGGTAATGTGTACAAAAAAGTAACCAGAAAATATAACCTGCACAAATAATTCTATTGATGATTGAGATTTTTTATACTTACAGGAAAGTATTTTTCATCACATTTCTAAGGCAAATTCCCTTTGAAATTATTGATGTATAAGTTAGAATTCACCACACGACACTAATCGGTGCCGGTCTATCCAAGTTTATTTTATACAAAGTATAACAGCAAGATTTTGAAAATAGACCCCTCTTTAAGCAAATCAAAAAATTATACTGGTATTGTATTTATAGAACAGCATGTGGGTAATTCAATTTACCGAGAATTGGGGAAGTAACAGTATTTATTTAAACGTAAATATACCACCAACTTCATTAAGCAAACGAAAAGATTTTACTAGTAGGTAGGTATTATATTATGTATGGAATAGCATGTAAGTAATTCAATTTATCGAGAATTACGGAAGTATCAGAATTATAGGTATACAGGGTGAGTTTTTCTTTGTTTTAGTCCAGGGATCTCGCGGAAGCTGTAGGAGATGGGAAAAGATGGGAAAATATTTGCTGTTTTGTAAAATATGACACCTGTCAAAATATTTAAGCATATACTTGGGCAACGAAATCTGTAGGTAGACCGCCAATATTATGGTAGACCGCATTCTAGACCGGCATCCACTACGGTGCTCTAATTTACGCTATACTATTCTATTCTACTCTACAATCATAGGAGTCTAAAGTGTAAATTTGTTTATTGTACTGCTTTTTAAAACAACGCCAAAAATTTTCAATTTCTTTCAAAGTTTTGCAATAAAATCAAATAATCCCCTTTTCATTCTGAAATATTCCCGCGCCTCATTTGCCTAATACGATGATTAAAATACCCTTTTAAGCGCTCATCAGGATAAAATTTCTGCGCCCAATTTACTACCGCCGACCGAACTAAACTAATAAACGATATTTATTTCCTTTAGGAACGATTCAAACTTGTAAATTTCAATACACATTAATATAAGAAATATAAGATATAAGAAAGAATATATAAGAAATTGCCAATAAATATACTGAGTGACAAAAGTAAAAGAACACCAAAAAATAGTTGTTGAAATTTAACCATTTATTCTAGTTACATGTATAAGAGAAAAATAAACAAATGATTAAAATTAATTCATAAAATTAACAAAGAAACTTAAAAAAAATTAATAATGTGTTGCACCATCGTGGTGCTGTACACATTCTACAGTTTGAATGAAAAATAAAATTTGCTTATTGGTGTTCTTTTACTTTTGTCACTTAGTATATAAAACCGTGTAAGAATATACACCGTTTCCGTTTCATCATTCGTTTCCGTTTTTATCAATTTTGATACCGTCGAAACTGTCAAAATTATTTGATTTTGGATCTAATCGAAGCAAAGCGCGAAGTGCGATCCAGTGGAACAATTAAATTTATTAGAATTTATCGCGACGTTCTATTGAAATATACACTGGTGTACTGGATTTCAGACGGCTAAGAATTTAACATTGATTTCCCTATTATGCGCCAATAAATTTCCAACGGTGTATGTACAATTTATGTTAGACTATCTGCGCTCGCTTTGTACTCTTCGAAGGTACCGAACGAACGCACGTGATTCCTTTCCTTTCTGCTTTCTGTGTCCAGGTGTTTATTTACCGGGCAGATAATTGATTCGGTTAGTCGTCGGCGTTTTGTCGTGTGCTCGGCCAGGTCGGGAGAACGAACGGGCCCCTCCCAACTTAACGCCCACTTCCTACTGACCCCTGCTAGGCACCGCTGCGAGTTGCTGTGGCCTGGCCGGCCGGTGGCTCTTCGACTGCGACTTCCACGCCGCTCCGCTCCGCTCTTCTACTATTTACTATAAAATACACTATCACTTTATAATACCTACTATAGCCTCCTCTCTGCTGCTCGACATTGACTTATGCTGCTCTGCTAGCCGGTTCGTGCTTTGCCGATCTCGGTTAATTGCTTTTAATTGAGCGCACGATGCTGTTTTTAGACATTGTTTGAAAATGGATTTTATAAAAATCGAACCGTGGTATATACGAACATTTTTCGTTTTTACAAAAATGTGGGGAATTTTTATTTTCATCGTTTGTTTTCAAAGAACCGGAGGTTTCTATGCCCGGTAATGTTCGAGTTAAAACAAATCGCCTTCACAAATCGTTTTTACTCTTAAATCTTAAATTCTTTTGATGCTTATAACTTTGATTAACTCGAGAGTACATGACTAAATAACATTGGAAAATGAGTATTTTAAAAGCAAAATACACATACATAGTTTCGGTCAGTAAACGACCATCATCATAAACAAAAAAAGAAACAAGTTTTTTTTTAAAAGAAACATTAAATTAAAATATGGAATACAATTTATGAAGAACTATTGTAACTATATGTATAGGGATGCATGTAATAATGAATACTATTATACTGAAATAATATCTATTCTTTCTTTGCAGGCAGTTTTACGAATTAGTGTAAGAAGGTGACGGACGTCGCGATGGATAGCAAGTGCAAAAAAATACTTCTCAAGGATCTGAACAGTGTTATAACTTGCAAATTATGCCAGGGTTATTTCATAGACGCTACAGCTTTAACTGAATGTCTCCACGTGTGTAAGTAATTGAAATATTTCATCCCTCATATTATTTCTTTATCGCTATATGAAGATGTGTAGTAGTATTCGTTAAAAATTCTCGATTTATGAAAAAATATTTTTAGACATTTACTGTACCTAAGTGTTATTTATCTACACAAGATCGTTCTTATCGTATCAATACACTGCTCATTATCAATTATCACTGCCTGCCAGAGATATATTCATTGCATAAGATCACGTCGAATTAACATGGCATTCAACGTGTTACAATAAACATGTGCCCGTTCCAAATGGTTATAACAAAATTTGATGATAAGGCTCACTGAATTTTAAATGTACTCATGTGGGTAGTGGATTGTGTTCCCGCATATTTTCGTTTTATTGATCGCATTGAATTTAATTCCGAATGTAATAACTTTTCGCTTTTCATTTAATCTGCGTCCCGTCCGGTTGATTTTTTAAGCGAATATTTTTACACAAGCTTCATTAGATGGCTAAAATGTGTTTTAAAAGTTTATGGAAATGAGAAATAAATATTTATGTAAATTGAAAATTCACGAATGATTTATTGAAATAACAAATTGGAATAACAAACCATTAGGTGATAAAAATTTAGCGTTTTATATTGATAAAAACGAATCTCTGATGCTTTGTTAATTACTTCGTTAGTTATGTTTTGGCTAGTTAATACGCGCGATAGAAGCATTATTATTTGTTTACGATGAATAAATCAATATTAACGATGTAATTATTTAATTAAAATTATACTGTCAATTCGACGTTGCTTTTGATGCCACAATTAAATTAATTTAAAACGAATTTATATGTATACGATAATGTTACAATTTTATCGATTTATTAATTAGTATATCTAGGTATCTAATTAGAACTTTCAATACTACTCAATAGGTATTTGATATTTGCATTAATTATTGATGGTAATAATTTTCCATTTCAGTTTGTAGAGCTTGTATCCTTCGACATTTCGAAAATAGCAAGACTGATTGTCCGATCTGCAACACTGTTTATAAGAAAAAAACCCCGGCATGTTTCAAGTAAGTATATTTTACCATAGAACAAAATATAAATTATTTTACGAGTGTCATGTACAAAAATGGTGAAATTCTACCAATTCTTGAGAACAATTTTAATGCAATTTTCAGTAGTAATTTTTCAAAATATAGGTGCGAATCATGCTGAGCAAGTTTTATCTTTACCTTAAGTTTTACCTTTTTGTAACCTCAGAATTCAATAAGGTTTCAGTTAATTAAATAGTTTGTAATAGTTGATTTATTAACTTGGTTCTTAATAAACACAGTAGGAAATAATTCGATTGAATTTATTCATAAATTCGACTAATGATCATTATAAATTGCGTATACAGGGCGGACCCACAGATCCAATCCTTGGTGTACAAAGTAGTGCCGTCGTTGTTCGCAAGAGAATCCCAACGCAGGGATGACTTCTACAGGAGCACCGGCGTCAGGGCGTCGAGTTCCTGCAGCGACGACAGCGTCATCGAAAGGGAGCGCGACCTGATCAATGACCAAGAGGAAACGGTGAGTCCATAATATTCCCCATCAACTACTTACCAAATTACCTATTATTTTTCTCATTACCATATAGATCTCGAATTTTTTCGGCGACAAGACCCGGTTCATCAACACCGAGGATTTAATATCTCTATCGTTGGAGTACTATCAAGCGGATTTGGACGAGACGGGAGAGGAGAAGAAATCGAATAATCGCGAAAATAACAATAGGAAATTGTCGTACATAAACGATACGGACGAAGTGGTTGGTGCGAAGATTACGAACGACGGTGATTGTAACAAAAACGGTGATAAAGACGTAACGAACGATGAAAACGGTAAAAATTGTGATAAACGGTTCCTGCAGTGTCCCGCGGCGGTGTCTATGAAACATTTACAGAAGTTTATTAGGATGAAATTCGGTCTCACCGCTGATCATCGGGTAAGTTCATTAATTTTTCTATCTATTTTATCCAACAATAATTAATGATATTAATGTAGAAACCGTTGATGTTACAAGCGGATGACGTACAAAATATATAGGAATAATTTGGTTTTATTTTTAAACTAAAAATTGATCAACACCATAAGTTAATTAAAAGTTATTTTGTGATGAGTCTCCTCTCATCTTGATAATCTATATGATTATTTAATATGCCGGGTCGGTCTAAAGCGATATACACAGTGACAAAAAACGCAAAATTCCTAATCTTCCTTAATTTTTCTTAAGTGTTCTTCAAAATATGCTCCTTTTGAAGCGATACACATAGTGAAACGCCTTTTCCAATCATCGAAGCATTTTTATAGACCTCTTTTGGTACGGCTTTTAGCTCCTTCTGTGACTTTTCTTTGGCATTTTTGGAGTCAAAACGGGATTCCCGAAGTAGCAATTTGAATTGGGGAACCAAAAAATTTCGCACGAGGCTAAATCCGACGAATAAAGCGGCTTAAATCAGAATGTTTTCATCGATTCAAATTTAATTTCCTTCATTTTCTCGCTGTTATCATTGGTTAAAGAGGTGTAAGACCGTCCGAAACAACGCAAGTCTTTAACGATATCCCGACTGTCATTGAAAGCTACACACAGAAACTTGAAATAGTTTAAAATATTAAGTTCAGGTAATTTAAAACAGAATTTCCGAGTACTTTAATGGATCATAGTTGTGACACACACTGTATAAATAAAATAACTTTGCTCAATAGCGAGAGAGATATTTTAAATTACTCCGTACTTGAACGTCTTTTCAAATTGTTTAGCACAATTTTAGAATTGTTTAGAACCCTTCAAAAGAATATACAACTGTTCGAGACTACTTTAAACTATCCAAAATCATTTATAATCGTTTTAAAACTGACAAGGACCGTTTGAAACAGTTCATGATATTCCTAGATCCATTTAGAACTGTCCAAAATCATTTCAGGCAGTTTCAGGAGTTTTTGGGACGGTCCACAGGAAAAACTAGAAAAGTCCACAACCATTTGAAATGTTTTCAGAATTGTTTAGAACGCTTTCAGGACAATTTAAAATTTATTGATTTAGAAGTTTTTCAACTGAAAAATTGAATAATTTAGTAAAATATTTCTAAAAACGCCAAATTTACTTATAGAATCATCTGAAAATTAGGGTAATTTACTAGTGATATTAAAACATAAAACTGTGTTTTCCTGTGGTCACATACTATAGCTTCATAATTTTTGGTTGAATTAGTAAAAATTATTCAAGCTTTGCGTTTGTTTTGAGGAAAAAGCCAATTTTTTTATAATAAAAAGCTCTCGTAATGCGCCTAAGTGCCTCCACTCAATTCGGTTTCCTGTCTTTTGTGACTTTTTACGCCAGCAGGTACTTTGAAACTTGCAACAATGCAACTATAATGGAAATATTAGACCTTTTGATATGTATTTCGCTTGAAATTCGAGTTGCTTGAGATAAAAGTGAATATAGTTAAAAGCGTCGCAATTCGAACTGGTTTATGTCGCTTTATTACCTAATGTTATACTACTTATTCATGTGTTCTTATATTTCAAATTACTAGAAATATTAGTATAAATTATTTAGTATAAATAATAATTAGTATAAATATTCTTATACAAGTAGGTAATTAAAATACTGCAATATAAGAAATATTTTGTCAAAAAAGTTAGATTTACAAAGGAAAAAAGGAATTTACAAACTTTCTGTATATTTAGCACAATTTCCCTGTTGCGATCCTTCACCTATACAATATAACCTCACCGGACGCATTTCACTCTCATTTTATATTCTCGGCGTTTCGTTTATCTCCCATCTACAACAGTCACATCAACGTTTACGTTTCTGCTACTGTATCTTATGGTTCACTTAAACCGGTAATTTTATTTATCATAATGTACTTTGCTTGTTAGCTGACGATTCGGTGCTCGTTAACGGCCATAAAGATGTTCATTAGTACGCTAATTTCGCCGAAAAAAAAACTTGCGCGCACTATGCAATTATTTATCCCGGTCGAAGTAACAAAAATAATTAAACCGTTGTTTTCACACGACTAGGAGGTTAACGAAATTAACTGAAAATGCCTAATTGTTTTCTTTATTTGGCATATAAGTAAGTTTATCCCGTTAATTGGAATATCTCTTCTATATAAAAAGGGCAATAATTATACAAAGGTAATATCAATTTTCTGAATTGATTTAGGTCTATAATATTTGTTGATTTACTCTGTAGGTTAAGAGAAAATCTACAAAAAAATCAATTTCGTTCTCCTTTATCACAGTAATAAAAAATCACATTGGACTGCAAAGGGTATCGATAACAAGGATGTAATAAAGGGAAGTCTCCGGGATATAACTCTGTTCGCAATTTTACGTTTTATTAGTTCATCCGTTCTTTATCGATTCGGCGCTGTATAAATGTCCGGACAGACGCGAATAATTCGCCAATTTTAACATTGACTATATTTTACATTATTAAAAAGTTACTCTACATTACGCTTGAAAGGCGATTTAACTGTTAATTATTTTATGATACCCTAAATAAACAATACATACAATACTGAATAATCGTAGATGAATATGGTACTGTGTTAGTAAATTTAGGACGCAAATGTTATTTAAATTTCGTAAAAAAAATTAACAAGGATCGCATTTAAAAAAACGAAGTTGATGATGGTTGACCGCGGTTCTGTAAAAATGAAATATCTGGTGGTGGAAAAAAATATTTCCCCATACGTTCAAGCCACGGCCGAATATTTGTAAGGTCTAGAAACAGCCAATGCTTAGACATTAGAGAATGTGTCCCGTAATTTGACTTTTTGAGCTTTAAAACTGTCAAAGCTGTCAAAACTTCAAAAATTGTTTTTTGACATTTCGAGGAGAAAATGGAGAAATACATTAACCGAAGATATATGTGAGGATGAAGTTAACAAAATCATCGCTGATTTAAGTATATTTTTATATTTTGTCTATATTTTTTGTTTGAAAAAACTTTTTTAATGCTAAATCTATACAGTGAAGACCAAAAGTCCGTCGCCTACCCTTTAACTTTTGAATGGTAAGAGCTTTTGTCGCGCAATTTCGGGTGTTTATATTGGAGTAAAAATGCTATTTATTGACGTAAAAATGACAACTGAAACTTTCAAAATGACAGTTAGGCGCCATTTTGAATCTTAATTTCTTATGGAAAGGGGCGATGAATATAAAAATTCATTCTGAACGTACTATAAAATGTGTCAATTAATTGTTGCTGTGGTTTCTTGGCTCTGACATTTATTTGTCAAATTTAAAGTTGATGAAATTGACAATGGCTTGTCCTTTAAACGAAAAAACTGTTTTATCCTCAAATAACGGGACACTTTTTCGACCTATGTTTCCAGATCTTAGAAATATATACAGCCGTGGTTCAAGCAATTTAAAATTATAATAAAATCAAAGCAATTAAACACATTTTTAAAAATAACTCAAAACAAAAATTAATATGTATACCTACTAATATTTCTTATTCTTATTTACCTTTTTATTTGTTTACACGAATTTAATGTCCTCTACTCTGTTTTTGTATATCTCGTAGTTTCCAAGATCCCATTTAATGTGTGTTTATGTACATTTTATTGTCATATCTTAATATAATTTCACTTGTTGTTCAAAATACACAGCAGTTTCCTTATTACATAAATTTTATTATATTTCAGGTGGACATCATCTACAAAGGCGAGGTGTTGAAAAACAACTTCAGTTTAATAGACGTGGCCTACACTTTCAAGTGGAAAAAGGTAAGCAATCAATTCGTCCCATCTTGAAGTTTTCCGTTAAATTACATTATTAATGCGGTGTTCGCTAAACGGTCCAAATTTCAAATTTCCGCCGTACGTTCGTGTTCGGAATCTCTATGAGATATGCGTGCGAAACTTCAGTTATGGTTCTTTGGGTTTCAGCAAATTATAATTTCCACTCTGATTAATTTAAAAGTAGTGGGTCAGACTAAAGAAATTCTATAAATCATGGGCTGATGAATACGTGTGCACAGTGCACTTCGTGCGTTCGAGGTTTGTTTTTGTATTTTTTTTAACGAGCCATTCGCCTATAGGTATTCAATTTTATCAGATGAAAATTGAAATATACTACAAGATACAGCTCCGTTATAATTGCATAAAATATAGGAATAAATGTAATTTTACAGCACCTTATACATTTTTATTTTATATAAACATATATTATTTACATACTTTATAGTACCTAGGTATTGTTTTTAAATCCCGAATTTTATTATGCACTTATAAATCATTTTATTATCTGGTTAATTAAACTGAACGAAATCCTCGTTTTGAAAAAAGCGATACTGCCTGTTTTTGCGTTTCAAAATATTGGACAGTGTTATTTATTACCGCATTCGCCGTTTATCAGTCAAACGTAAATAATGATAATCGTGTTATTTTGGTCAACGTATTTCTGAATGAAATGCTGTGAATTCGTCTCCCTTATACCGATAAGAGAATAATTATTTGACGTTTGACGCCGTTTAGATAATTTTAATATGCCTACCTATATTGTTCATTAAAATTTTCAAGTATATCGATCGATTGATAAGCGATAAGTATCTAGCGAAAACAATATTAAAAAATCTGTTTGTAAAACCTATAATTGTTATGGATTCACACTAAAATAAGCACTTGGAAAAATGCATTTAGGTAAGCACTGATTTTTAAAATGCAACAGCACCTATATAGTGTTAAATTATGGAACTTATTATTCATTTTTGGTATGCAACATTTTATAGTTCTTTTGTATAATTTTTATTGGATGACTAATTTCAAATTTACCATCAGAATTTAATTGTTTCGTACGAAATTTAACCCAATTTGTGCCGTTAAATTACGTCGAAAATCAAACAAACTTTATGTAACCGAGCGTAATAAACCTATAAATATTTACTGATAAAAATATTGCACTACTGGCAACTCGGCGTATAAAATCTATTTTTAGAATTACGTATTTAATAGTTAATAGCTACGCCGACTAGGATCGGCTATTTGCTGCGAAATATCGCAGGGAGCTTTCCTGCGGTAGCATCAAAAATATTGCAAATAACGTATTTTAAAAAGCTCAATATGTAATTACCTTAAAGCTCATATCATTTACACATTTCAATCATAATTTTCTTCAATTTTTGATACTACAAACCTTTAATACATCTAATAGAAGGGGCGATGTTCTTAATTATTTTACACCACTCAATTTTATGTTGAAGCCAATCCAAATGTTGTTTTTTCAATCGTTTTGTTTAGCTAAATTCGTCGCAGGTATATTAGCATTTTCTATTACTGTTAGGAGCAATCGACTGCGGTTATTGAACCAAGGTTTTTTGTTGTGCTGCGGAGGCATTGTAGTTAAAAGTCAGCTTATAGAAAAAAAAAACTGAAGTAGCTGTTTATTAAAATGCAAATGCAACAGCACTTTTTTTTTTGTTCACAATAAGGCTATTAACAACTATTGTCCATATATCTACGAGAAAGGTCACATTAAAGTGTTTATGATCTTTTTTTAATTGTGCGTAGGTATTAAATAAACGTGGAATATTAAATGACTGAATTGTGTCAAATACATGTGTAGGTAAAGGAGACTAAAATGGCTGCTTGTTTTGATGAATTTATTAAATTAATTTAATTACCTACCCTTTTATGTTAATCAATTGTAATCTTGCACTAGACAGGTATGAATAGGAAACTCAAAAATAAAAATCGAGCTTATAGTTTTTAGTTTTTGAATAAGTATAAGTACGCAATAAATCAATATCTAACTACTCGTACCTACATTTTTTACATGAGGTACGGGATAATCCCGCAGTAAATATCAAATGAAATGAAAACGAGCAACAGAACTGTTCATAAAACGTACGACGAAATTCCCTTCCCTTGTTTATCCAACGCAATAATAAATAATCCAGCTGAGTAATCCCCCAATTTCGTAAATGCCTTCTAATTTATCACGCCGGCCGAGCCGTAGATATATCGGAACTACAAACTCCGGTGGAAACGAAGCGTTCTCTTCATTTCATTGTCCTTCGTTCACGCACCGCGGCACAAACAGGTATGCGAGAGACGAGAGCCGGAAAAGAGACGGGGCTACGCTCAACACGTTCGCTCGAAATATTTATTGAGCCTCTTCTTTTCGGTTAGCGAATGAAGCAGAGGCGGTCGCCTCTGACTTTTGTCGCCTTAAACCGATTATTACATTGTTCCCTTGGCGATGTTAATTCGCTTATAGTACAAGTGGGTCTCGTTAGGAAATTATTAATTTTAGTTATACTTCGGTACCTGCCTATTACCTTCTCTAATTTGAGGTTTGTTAATGCAAAATTGAATGAATATGTACAGGGTGTTAATTAATTGAGTGTCGATACTTTAGGATGTGAATATTTAGATGAGACTAAGAAGAAAGGGTTTTATATCAATATATGTCCTAAATCTCTTAGTTTTCGAGCTAGAGGGTGTTACAGTTTTAGAAAAATATTAACTTTTCTATCATAATTTTCTTATTACTCCAGATATTTATATGAAATTTTGTACACATTTTTCAATTATTAAGGAGCATTTTTGAGTCAAAAGATTTTCTTAAATTTTTACCAGTGACGACCGTACCTACGTGGGTTTGAATTGAATATGTTTAAAGAAAAAATAACGCCACAGCTTTTTCTAAAAAACAAAATTATTTTTAAAATCCTCATTTATTTTGGAGTAAATTCCATCTGAAGACTTACTTTCGTACGACGCGCCATTTTCGCGTAAAAAAATAAAAACCAAAACAATTTTTTCCAAGTTCATTTTGAGACTGCTTTTGATATTTTGTTGAAATTTGGTGGGCGCCCACCACGCATGGAAACACTTTTCTTTGGGAACAAAAATTAATTTTCTACTATTACCAGTGACGTCCACGTCCTAAATGTCATAAAAATATCTGGAGTAATAACAAAATTATGTTTTTTTTTTTTCTAAAATTTTAACACCCTTTAGCTCGAAAACTAAGAGGCTTAGGACATATATTTCCTTCCTAAAATCATCCAACTATGCACATCCTGAAGTATCGGCACTTAATTAATTAGGACCCTGTATATACTTGTTGTTACTCGGACAATTGCATTTTTTCCTCTCCTATCGGTAATAATATTAATTATTATAGATTAAATGCCACATTTAAGACGATCTCTAAAGTATCTTGGGCTATTTTTTCTCAATATTTGAAGAATTTAAAATTTGAGCACAAAATTTAAAAACTAATTGAGACTTGAATTCCAAATATTTATTGAATATCCTGCAAATGCAAATTCCAATGTAGTATCACAATATAAAACAACATAGTATTTTTTGAACTTTTCTTCAAATGCGTGGTAATTTCATTAATTGAAATGTTTTATTTTTGAATTTTCCTAAAGAATATATGTAGTTAGGTACCTACAGAAAAATCTTTCAAAATATATAAATAAAACTATCGCATAATAATGCATTTTTCTCAATTTTTTATATTTTACAAATTTCTCCACTTACAACCTCTTCTTTTTATTTAATAAAAATGGCAATCGACGAGTCACTACTGACTGGAACTCTACAATTGAGATATTTCGATGGGAAGAGTTTACGTGTAAAGAAAATGCTATTAAAGGAACAAAAGGCATGTTACAAGCGTTATTAAAACCGATGCAAATTGGCCCGTAGAGAATTCGTAATTAAAATCGTGAAATTGGGAAACTCGAACTAAATTTAGATGGATTCTATACTTATCGAATACCAATACTATTTTTCTTATAAAAGAGTAAATTTTTTATACCTAAAAACGCTTCAAAAGAATGATAAAAGCCATAACAAATTAGAAACGAATTCTTAAATAAAAATAGAGATTCGTTGAAATCTAATCGTATATTTAATAAAATGAATGGATTATATATTATACAAGCTATAAATAATTTACGAGTTTTCAATTTTCCATTGCATTAATAACACACTTTTAACAAAATAAAAAAAAAACGATATATATTATATATCAGAGAAAACGATGTCAGTCGAAATGAGGCGAACCGTTCGCTCTCCGCAGTCGCAGATTTATCGAAAGCCGCTCGAAAATTATAGCAATCATTATTTAGCCTGTTTACTGGTTCGGTTGTAAGTCACAAGCCAAGCCTTTTACGGCGTTTGTTATGGTCGTAATTAGGTAAGCTGTTCGTTCGAAACAGCACAAGACGAGATAGAATTAATACGGTGCAGTTTGTCGGTTTTCGATACACACGTGAACGTATATAGTATATACGCAATTAAATGTGTCATCAAGTTGGCCATATAGCCTCGCCCATGCCATAATAGCGCTTATTAATGGGCCTCTTTGGCGAATTTAAATGGCACCTTGGCCAGAAAAGTATTGCTTTTTACTGTAAATTAGTCCACTAATGTGACTATATGTTCTACTCATTAGTCGCTATAATCAATCGATTAGAAAGGGATCTCGCCAGCTGCGTGAGCTCGACTTGATTGGTATATAAAAATCAGTAGAATTAGGTTTATCAAGAGAAATTAAAGACTTTTTGATCACCAAATTTTCAAATGTACGAAATTAAATATTTCCTCTTATATTTGAGTGAATTTTTTGCCCCTACCTCTACAATTCATACTAAATTTGACTATCAAAAAACCTGCAACTTTAAAATTAATCTCAATATTTGTGAACTTCCTTAACTTTTGTGGAACAGTATATCAATAAATTCAAAAATTGGTGAGCGTAGTAATATCTGGTTTGTTTTATTCGATGGAAGAGAATATCTACATTTTTGCAAGAATCAAAATTTTTTGTAAATATTACGAATGTGAAGTTAATTGGGTTTTTATAAAATTTGGAAAAAAGTGGAAAACCAAAAAAAAATTTTTGCAAATTTTTGCAAATTTGATCCTAATGATGATGAAATTTCCGGTAGTAGAAACGTCGATAGACCGTTTATTAAATAGAGAATTCAATTTACCCATCCAAAACCATTACACCTGTAATAAAAGTAACACCAATCATTGAGTCGATTTTAACTTTATTATCATATGTATTAATTAAACAAACATAAGCAATACAATTAAGCTAACTATTTACAAAAAGTTATATGTACTTAAGGAACAATAATAATTTCCATATGAAAAAACGCCGGGCATTAAAAGCAAACTTTTAAAACTCCTCTATGCAATATCGTGCACACAAAATCCCGTTTAATAAATGCAAATAACCGACCGATCGGCTCGTAATCGAAATTCGCTGGCAAAAGAACTTATTATTACATAAAATTCATGACATAAACGTGCAATTATCACTCGGCGAAACTTTCAGAATGGAAGAACCGGGTCCGTAAGAGTTACGTGGAGGATCTATTAAAATTACAACGTCGGCATCGTACGAATTCCCCTGAGTACCGAGAATCGCTGCGCGGTCTAAAAATAGTACTAAAATAGCCGGGATAAGGTCGTGTCAACCTATTTGTAAGGCGATAATTGTCATAAATAGTCTCATTTGAATTTCAATGAGACTCCATTATCAGGACCGGCTTCGCGATATATTATACCTTCACGTTCAAATGTTGCTAATTGAAAGAGAAAACACCTACGGGTAAAAGGAAATGTTCGATGCACTTGCACCGACTCTGTTTTGGTTTTTTTTTTTGACAAGTACTGTACGTGCACGTGAAAATTAATTAAGTATTAATTGGGTAGAGGATTTATTATTTTACCTAAACCGTTCTCAAATATTTTAATGGATTAAACTATTGAAAGTCTCGCTTCGACAGGGAATTTTCTAACGAATTCATTAAAAAAACTATTTTCTTTTGTTCATCATGATCCTACGTTATGAACAAAAATTAATATAATTTGCAATAAAAATGAATGTATGTTAACACTCCAACCGTTCCTGATATTCGATGGTTTTTAAGTCGGTCTTACTTAAAAGTTGAAGCTATCTTTGTGTTTCCTATTCAAATAAGTACAAGTTCGTTTAAACAAACACAATTGGTAATTTTGTGGCATTCACAAATGGCTCTGCTAACTTAGTTTATGTACATACATATGTCTGTTCGTTCGATGTTTTGAGGCTTATGTTGCATATTCGTTGAATAATTCATTCGGTGTAATTGCCGAGGAAGATGTATTTTTAGGGACGGTATTGTGATCGGGAGAAATTTACATGTGAATTTTTGTTAATTAGATAAGTTGGTACCTATGTGGCTACTCGTATGGGAGTACGTTAGTTTTTTTAATAAAATAGAAAACTGATTTTTTTTACATTTTTATTTTTAAATAATATGTTATCATGCAATAACAAACAATAGGGATGTAATCATTATTATATTTACACCTAAGTATATAGGTAGATACCTAATAATTTTTTATAATACATAGTCAATTTATAGTAGTGTTTTATTAACCTACATATTATTGTTAATTATATGAAAAATAATCAATATTTAGAAATATCTACCTATGTATATACTCGATCGAATCGTAAACGACCTACTTTTCTTATAAATACACCACACAATACTTACCTACCTAAGTAAAATTTTATGAAGCTTATTAATAAATAAATGGTCAATTCCACGACAACGTAAATAAGCGTTTATTCTAGATTGAATTTCAAGTTAATTATTATTGCGATTAAGTATCAATACGGTCGCAAATTGATATTGGAATTAATTTATTCAAATTATTCCGAACGCTCGCTCGAGTAATTTCATGAATACGATAGTAATTAGTATTGGTTTATCTTTCAAATTCGATCTCGATGAATGGATAATTTTAATCAAATATTAAAAACTTTTGTAATAAATAAACTAGTTTTTATTTTCTCTAAATAACTACAGGTGCTTTTATATTACATTACATACGAAATGAAGTTATCAATCTTAAATTACATATTTTAGCTCAAATTGATTAAGATTAAAACAGTAAATATATCTGTACCTATTCATAAAATCATCACAATATTCTCCTAATAAAGGGATTTAAAAAAATATTATTCAACTTTAAAAAAAATGTATAATAAATACAATTACTCCTTAAAATACTGACGTTATTGCGATACTTCAAAGATTTTACCGCTGTGTGTTCGTTAAGATAGCGATCAACGAAAAACTCTCTTAACAAGAATCCCGAATAAATAAGTCTTCCTCACCGCCGAGGAAACCCACCGATTTTACCACCTGGTGTGAAGATGGTACTGATGGTATCTCGCGTATACCTTTCCGTGATGTCTAACGATACCATTTTTTCGAATAAAAATCCCCCCGAGTTGTTCGGATATATAAATTGGAAGAAATATTGCTCTGACAAAAAGCCGCCTGCTCCACAAAAATAATAATCAAAGTTAAATATCATTTTAAAATTAATTAACACCGCTTTTTCGTTTGTTACAGGAAAAGCCGTTGAGGTTCTTCTACCGCATCTTCACCCCGCAAAAGGTCAGGCCGATTAAAATCCGCCTGGAAGGGGAGCAACTTCAAGTAGTACCTGTTAAATCCGACGCTCAACGGCCCGTCCTAAATACCTCGAACGATGAGAAAATCGAAAGGCCGAAGAGCTTTTTAGACGAATTGGAAGACCAAAATGACCACAAGAAGAGGCTCTTCGAGCACCTCAAACTCCAGCCGAACCAAACCGAAAAGGAAACCAAGAAAGTACCTGAGAAATCTCCGCAGAAGGACTGCGTCTTCGAATACCAGGAGCCCGACCTGGAGGAGATCAAGCGATTCGCCGAGATAAGGGACAGAGAATGGGCAATGCAGAAGAAACTCGACGAGGAATCGAAGCGAATAAACGAGGAGGAAACGTTCACGTATCACATCAGCAAGAAACGGAAAAAGAACAAGCATTCGAAGAACGAGTCTAACACACACAAGAAACGCAAACTCCACGCCGAAATCGCTTCGAACGAAGAAGACTTGAAGCTGAAGGTTAAGATAACCAACAACGGCCACAAACACAAACACCATAAAAGCTCTAATCAACAACTCAACGAAAAGGATAAGAGTAGCACGCAAGAAATGAGTTCGAAAGAAAAGCTCCTGCAGATGAGGCAAGTGAGACACAAGCACATACCCAGCGACGAAAAGAAAATTCAAACAGTTCCCAGCTTGATACTATCGAAAGATGTAAATAGAATAATCGATAAACCAAGAGTGGAAGATAATATTAGCAAACCACAAAACATCTCGAATAAGCCCGTTCAAAATATTGAACCAGTGAAAGTTTCGGAGGATATAAAAAAGCTCAAAATCAAAGTGCCAGAACCTTCGACGAACGTCACAGAATCCGCTGTTCTGCTTAAACAGCAAACCCAACCTACCAGTACCAGTCCAAAAATAGGCGCTTTCCTCGAATCCAGCAGCCCCAACAAAACGAATTTCATCAACGTGAAAGAAAAGGAATGGACCAAGAAGATAATGCCCTCCGTGCAATTGGAGAGAAACACGCAAACCGAAAAACAAGCGATAAAAGTACAAAAAACTTTCCAATCCTACGCCGACAAGTACAGGACCGAAAAAGTGCAGCAGAACAAAATCGAAAGCGCCAAAATGAGCAAAGAAACGCCCCAACCCAAGACTGATATTAACAAAATCACGACGAACAACAACAAATTGCTGGAGATTAAAATAGAGCATCTCCGACAACGTTGCACGTTCGAGCCAAAGCAGCCGGATAAACCTGAAAAGAAAGTCGTATTTAACAACGCCAAAAACAAAATCATCCCGCATTATCCTCCAGGATTCACCGTCAGTAAAATCGAGCAAGGCGTCAAGCGAAAACCCGAAACCAGCGATAACATCAACGATAAAAGACCCAGTTTGGAGATAACTTTAATCAACCCGCCGACGAGTACTCCTATGCAAATAGCCCAAAAACCACCCGAAAAACCTCCAGTCAAACGACCCCCGCCTCCCACCATCCCTCTAGAGAAATAAAGAAATCCGTCAACTTGAAATCCGGCATCAGCATCATCCCCAAATTGCCCGAGAGGTGCGACAACATCGGCGCGCTGGATTTATCCAACAAATCCCCGGACTCATCTCCGCGAAACTCCCCGAAAATCGAGAGCACCAACGGCGTCACCATCACCAACAGACAGCTCACCACTCTGAACCGCACGGAGAAGAACCCCGCCCTATCGAACCTCCAAATGCTGTCGAAAGTGGCCACCGAGCACCCGACTCTCAACAACCAGAACGTCGTGGTGGTGAACAACAAGCCGCGTCCGCAGATGCCCAGCCTGCAGACCCTCAAGATACCGAACCTTCCGATGAAGACGTCCAATTTGCAGAAGCTGCCGAAGCTGAACGAGATCCAGAAGTTCCGGCCGCAGATACGCAGCGTGCGTCCCAATCAGAACCAGAACATTCGGAACATACCGAATCCCAGCGCGCTGATTCGCCAGCACCAGACGCAGAACCGGATCACCATCGGCACCCAGGCGGATAGCCCGAGCAAGAGCGTCGCGACGACGGCGGCGGCGGCGCCGGCGCAGGCGCCTGTTGCCGTGAGTCCTAAGGATAACGGCGTGAAGGCGATGGATATAGCGGTGCAGGAGAAGAAGGAAATTTCCGTTTAAGCTCTCCCTCGTTGTTTGTTTTGTTGGGTTTTTTTTTGTTGTGTGGTTGGTTGATTTGTGGGCATAAAATTTGTGATAACCTAATGACCAATAAATAGTTTGGACGTTTTAGATAATGGAATTGCGTGGTAGTGAAGCTGAAAGTTTAACCGTTCATTTTAAACTATTAAATTACTGGTTTTTTCGTTGGGTAAAAATTGTTTTCGTGTATTTTACCGGGCGTTTCAGAGTCGTGGTGCTTAAAGCTGAGGTGACATTCAGCTCCTTCAGGATTCTGAAATGCTTCGAAAGCTCCAAGCTTTTGAAACGCTCTGAAATGTCCTGTATATCCGCTTTTATGACTAAATAGGAGTGTTTACTTAGAGTACAGGGTGTTCCAATGAAAAGTAGCCCCTTTAGTGAGCTATAATAATTTTTAAACGCCTAATTTTTAGCGTTTAAAAAACACAAAATTTTTATATCGCCTGAACAGGGTGTTTCAAAAAAATTCCCTCTTTTAAATTCACATTAACTTAATTTTATGAAATAGGACATCTTTTTTTGTACAATAACATGTATCTACAAATAACACATTTTTGAAAAGTAGAAGAGTATATCGTCACCTTTATTGGTAATGCATAATTTCTGCATCACTGTAACGAAACTTATAATAAAATAAAACATATCTGAGAAAACCACATGTTTTTGTGATTATGCGTTTACAAATTATAAGCTCATTAAAGAGGCTACTTTTCATTGGAACACCCTGTATGATTCCGAAGCTTGCAAACGAAAATTAAGTATTATATTGCACTTAGTTATTATAGCAAATGTAATGTAGAAGGCGAATCGTTGGTATAGCTTAGGAAGGAATAACATATTACATTGAACACACCTATTAAAAAATTAGGTATGGATGTGAGATCGCAATTTCATCAAAAAATAACTCTTTTTATTTACCATTGCGTACGAATTATCCAATTAGAAGTATACTACAACAATTAAAAAAAACTATTGCTTATAATGTTGCTGGAAAGGTATAATTTCTATTATCGGTTAAATTATTTATAGAAAAATCGATGATTGCGATCTCTACCGCATCGACCAAATTCCATTAGGAAAATTAGCTATTTACTGCGGTAGTAACGATGATAATTTTAACGAAATATGAGTTAGAATGTACTGTCATTTGATGCGTTGCAGCATATTTTTAAACTATTGTTTGGTAATTTCAGTTGCTCTTATTAAGTTTAATTCTTATGAGTTGAGTTCCTTTTTTTAAGTGTCGGTATACAGGATGTTCTGTTGTTAAAAATACGAATCTCTTATGTGTTTACTGGAATACCTATACTTCTAAATACATTATGTAATCTTTGCAAAGAAATTTCACCGTACTGGAAAAAATGCTTTTAGTGAAAAATTAGGCTTTCTTCAATTTTTAAAGGTAGGTATTTTAGGATAAATAATGTTTTACAAGAGAACAAACTGTATAACAAATGTGAGAAACACTTTGCATCAAGACTTGAAATATTTGAGTTTTTCAAATTTTATTAATGATTCATTTTCATTGTTGTTGTTATGTTGTTTATTTTCAAACATGTACATAACAATATTGTAAATATTCGTGTTTTAATGATAATATTTAGATAAAACGCCGGTATGTAGATAGTAAAACTTAAAGTAGATGTTATATTTTATTTATCAAAAATAATGGAAACATTATTTTTTTCATTATTTAATCTATTGAGTTTTTAAAATGGAAAAAAAAGTCCATTGTTTTTTTATATACGGACAATATTATACAATTTAGACCGCCGATCTTTTTCCAAAAAAATGTAGTCTTAAGAAATTAGCTACAAAATAATAGCTATTGCTAGTAGTAAAAGTACAAGTTTTTCATTAATTAAATAAATGTGTACTATATTTCCTTTTTCGTGTAATTTACTAAGTGTATGTATTTAAAATATATTGATATTATCTTCATCGTTGTGTCTTATTCCATTAAAATTCCTTATAGTTATAAGCAAACTCAAATTTGAATTTAAATAAAGGCACCTCGGTGTAAAAATATACCAGTATTTTCAGTAAAAATAAAACAAGATCCTGGCCAGATCAAGGTTTTCAATTTCAAACAAAAAAAAATCCGAAGACATCGCGATGAACGTTCAACACAAGGAGACGAAAGACGAGCAAATAGATGAAGTGCAAGGTAATCGGTAAAATAACAAAATAAAATCTAAAATAAACCATAACTATTAATAGAAAATAGCTAGGTATGTATAATCGACTAACCAACAATATTAAATTCGTAGGAATTTGAATTGGAAATTGTTAAAAATGGCTCTATTAATATGAACACTGATGATAATAAAAATTGTAGAGCGATGTTAGATTTGTTTTCATCATTTGTATTAAATGTTATGCTAGTCAAAAAAATCGGATATATGAGTTTTATGAATATAGTAGGCGCCATTTAACCGAAATCACAAAAAAGTGATCAAATTTCTACTACAATTCTAAATAAAAATTAGTTAATAGCATATTCAATTTGCTCCCACAATCTCATCAGTACACAAACTTTTAATTTACCGATTTGCTTGTTGGTAAGATAAACTAAATTTCAAATTGAAAATTGCAACAGTCACTAGAAAGTACACTGCTCAACAATTGAAGTGGATAATTATAACTTTTGTAAATATTTTATTTAAAAACGTTGTCAAAGGGTTCGCACTGTATGCTGTGTATAACCATTTATCTATAGTGAATATTTTTTGTAATTTTTTTCTATGCCTTGGATGTTATCTTTTTAACTGAAAAATATGGGTGTACTGCTTACATTTTAGTCAAAGAGAAAAGCTTATATCGGCTCCATTACTGTTGTTTTTAGCAATAAACCTTGTTACTTTACCTTATTACGTTAAAGTTATGCCTCTACGACGATTACAGGCAGTGCAACTGGAGCAATTAGTGCGTTGGATACTTGAAGGAGTATCCCAACAAGAAGTCGCTACGCGATTAAATGTGTCTCAAAGCGTCGTCAGTCGAGCTTGGAATCGACATGTAGAGACTGGGAATGCAGAGTATACCCATGGAGGAGGACGAGAACGAGCCACAACACAAGCTCAAGATCGTTTAATAGTCCTGACTGCAAGGAGAAACCCAACATTCACGGCTTCAAGAATCAACAGCTTCTTTAGGCAAGCTACTGGACTAGTTATTTCCGGTCAGACTATCAGAAGACGGTTACATATGCGTAATTTGAGAGCAAGAAGACGCCCTACACACCCACGGTTAACGGCGGCGCAGCGTGCATGCAGACATCGTTGGGCTATAGAGCACAGAAATTGGAATCTTGAAAATTGGAGGCATTGTCTTTTCTCAGACGAATCACGATTTCGGTTGTATACGTGTGATGGTCGAATTTTAGTCTGGAGAGAAAGAGGACAGCGGTATAATGCAAATTTAATGGCGCCAACCACTCCTTTCGGTGGAGGATCAGTTTGTGTCTGGGGCGGCATATGTTATGATGGCCGCACTGAGCTACTGGTGTTGATTAATGAAACAATGACGGCTGTACGGTATCGCGACATGGTTATAGAGCCTATAGTCGTACCATTTGCTGGCGCCATAGGTGCAAGATTTGTGTTTATTGATGATAATGCTCGTCCTCACCGAGCAAGACTTGTAAACGACCGGGTAGAACATCATGGATTTGCTAGAATGGAGTGGCCTCCTTGCTCACCAGATATGAATTGCATCGAGCATGTTTGGGCTGAAATGTCTAGGCAATTAAATCGACTTGAACAACCTCCACAAACATTACCACAATTAGCTAACGCATTGCAAGTAATCTGGGCAGGCATTCCAAGGCACTTCATCAATAATTTAATAGACAGTCTCCCAAATCGAGTAACGGCATTAAGGCGAGCCCGAGGTGGTCCTACACGGTATTAATTTTTGTAAACAGCCGTTGTAAGAAGCGTAATGATGGAATTTTGTATGATGTTATTTTCTTTAAATTGTCATTTTTTCTTAAACACCCATTTTGCTTAATTGAATATTTGTTTTTTAGGTTGTTTTTATTATTTCTCTGATTAAACTTCCATTCCATGTGAATACCGTTTTTTCTTTTAAATATTTACAACGAAATTACAGGAATTTTTATATTATCCACTTCAATTGTTGAGCAGTGTATTTAACAATTTTAAAATGGCGCAAACTAGCTGATGTTTGGGTTTAATATAAGATTGAAATTATAAATAAAGGAATTATTTTTTACAATTGTAAATGTTTACGAATCTCGTATTGTTCATTTACGCAATTGTAGGTGTTTGGTGTATGATTTTTTTCTAAATAATCTAGAAATTATTCTTAGAAATTAAATCGACTAAATTCTATTATTTTTTAAATCTGATTTGAATAAAACTCATTCATATATGCTTTATTATGATTTTTTTTATTTCTGTAGATATTTTACTACCTAGTATGCTATAAGTAAAGTATTATCTACTTAATGTGCTAATTTATAAAATGACGCAACTGATGCTAATAAAAATTAAAAAAATATAAAAAACATTTTTATCAAAAAGCATAAGTTAGTGAAGTTGTTTACACAGAAATTCTGAGAAAACCGAACCAGATACCAGCCAAGCAATATTTTATTCCTTATATGACGTAGCACTATTGTTTTCCATTTTTACATCCGATTAGGCAAACTGGGTGTGCACACTGGACCCCATCCCAATTCCATCTGGACCATATCTAAGAATTATAACGCATAGAATATATTTCTATAGATAATAAAAATTAAAAATAATAGTATCGAGTCCAGAAAATAAAAAAATAATAATAGGTAGCTGATGAATTAGGTAGAAGAAAATTTTTTAGTACTAGTAATGCCTATGTATTGGGAATAGACATACGCTGAGGTTTAAAGAGCTAGATTTTTGAGACAATTTAAAGCTCTAAAATCACTATCTTTTATTGGAAAATTCTCTTGTTGTGAAATTTAAAAGCATTTA